ATTTCAGATAAAATATTTCTGTAATTACAATGAAAATTATCTAAAAAGTGTGCAAACTGCCAAACATGAAAGAAAATCATAATTGCCATAAGAATAACTCATGAATTTGGGGAAGGGAAGACAAATTTCCACATAACACTTTTCATTCACAGCCGCATTCTGATTAACTAAACGTTACAATAAAATAACATTTGTAACAAAATATACAAAAAATATATTTCATACTTTTAATTTATGTGTTGGATCTGCACCTTGAGTCAGTAGAACTTCTACAATAGGCAGATGACCACCAGCACAAGCAAGAGATAAAGGATTATGGTCATTATTTGTTGTTTGTTTGTTAACATCTGCACCTTTGGCTATGAGAAACTGTACAGTACAGAGATGACCTGCTCGTGCAGCTTTCATTAAAGGCGTCCTCCCTCCTTCGGACTCATGCTCCTGTAAATTTAAAAACAGATGGTTTAACTTAGTTTTACTTACATAAATCATTTCATACAAGGAAATGATTATAAATATAAATACAACTCTGTTAAGAATTGGGGGGGGGACTAAGAATATTTTTTGTTAGCTATTATAACTAGGCAAGAAAATTAGTAATTACTTAACTATACCAGGGTTGCCACTCAAACAGGAGAATGAAATTCCCTGACTTTTCCAGGTTTTCCAGGTGTGTTTCAAGAAAATTCCAGTCTATCCGCGTAAGTACGTTGGCGTGCTAAGAGGTAATATTATGGTATTACTGTATGGGTCGCAAATTCACTATTATTCAATAATCCCAGAGGAATTTATTCTTAATTAGTCTTGTATACTTGTTGATATTTGTTTAGTTTCCACTAAGAAACTAATAAAAGTTAAGATATAGATATTGGATAACATGTATGTTTCAGTTAATATTCTATGATCTCCCATTAAAACGAGGCTATCCGGTCCTTATAATACAAAGCATGCTAAACGTTAGGTGCTTTAGTAAATTTGATTTGCATGAGGTATGTTCTTAAACCTTAACACTTGAAACACAATATAATTATACTATTGTTGTTTTTCACTGAAGCTGAGATTGAATCTCCCAATTGGAAAAAATAAGGCTTTTTTTGCAGACATTCTGCAGCTAAACGAGAGAAAGAAATCTATTTATAAATGGATATTTATATTTTTTGCAGCATTACATAAGGAAAAATATGTGCATAAATTTCTGATCTATGTCATATAAGGCTATACTAAGTTCAGGATTGCAGAGAAAATTTCCTGAAATTTGGACATATATTTATAATATAAATACATTAGAGGAAGAAGCAACATAACTTATATGAATAGACATAAAAATTACTTAAAAATTGAATAGATAACATCTATATTTTAGCGACCTAGTTATATTACATGTCTAGCCTGTGCTGATTATATTGTATTTGGGCAAGAATGGCAAGGTATTTATTAAGAAAAAAAAAATGGTTTAAAAGATTTTGCGGTAAAATTCCAGTAGACGGTAAGGCTTTGGCACATTTTGAAAATGTCGCGAAGACCAAATACCAGTTTAGGCCATCAGATGTTGCCAAATCCATTATAATCTAAACGAACGTTACGTAAAGAAGAAAGGTTCCATACAAGTAAAGCTATTACGCCGCTAGAATGCGGAGGGAAAATTTCCAAGATTTGGCGACGGACCTGGCGGTCAAATTTCCCTCTCCGCGTGTGTACAGAAATTGAGAAACGCGTGTAAGAAGAACCTCTTTGCAAAAGAAAACTACGAAAATCCGTTTTTAAATTACTGCGAAATCCAGAAGAACTTTTAAGGAAGTCTTCTTGGATTTTTCCAATAATTTAAAACGGATTTTCGTAGTTTTTTTTTTTTCCCTCTGAAAATACTATCCTGAAGAATTACTGAGAAAAAATTTTCTTTTCCTTAGAGTTTAACCCTTGCGCTAAGACTAAACTCACGGTAAGGGCATGCCTAAATATAACAAGCGGTAATGTCTCATTTACGCCGCTCCGATCTGCGAGTGCAATCCAGAGCGTAACCAAAAGAACTGTGACCACTTATTGTCATTTATGCATGATCTTATCGACATGTTCACGTCGCTCGCGGTTGAGACGAAGCATCTGACGCGTGTCTCTTTTTAGCGCAAGTGGTTAAAGAAATTTTAAACGATAGTCATTTATGAACTCTTGATAACGTGACTTCGAACTTCGACACCGGTTTCGCGCTTTGTGACAGATATATCCATGCACAGCTGTCCCTCTATGATGGAAGGAGCAACAGCCACGTCTGTTGCAGAGGTTTTCTTTTACAATACATATTCTTTGATTCTAAACCTCTATAGTACCTATCTAGGATTAACCCATTTTGTTTTATACGAACAGGTACTTTCTTTAGTTCATGCACTGCAATGCGATTCTCGAATACTGGAAACCAAAGTTGCTTTGCCTTTCTAAAACAATCAAATTGGAGCTGCGAAAATTGGCTCTAGCCAGCTACCGAATGACACTCACGTATGCATAATTCGCCAAAAAGTTACCTCTTCCACGTCGGCGCAAAAATCTCTCTCTTTTTTTTTTTTTTTTTTTTTTTTTTTTTCGGGATCGTGTATGAACTTCCCTGACTTTTCCAGATTTTGCAAATACTTAAATTCCCTGACTTTTCCCTGAATATTTTGGTCAATTTTCGAATTCCCTGACTTTTCCCGGTTCTCCCGGTTTTCCAGGTAGCGTGGCAACCCTGCTATACATACATATATATATATAAGTCATAAAATATGAAAGAAAATAACCTTAAATAATTGAAAGACCTTTTAATTACCAATTTTAGTTTGAATACAACACCCTTCAAAGGCTCAGTAATGCATGGCTTTTGCCTGCTGCATTTCACATTGCTGAGGCTTTTGCCGAATAGCTGTTCAGAATCAAAACACTCCAACTGCTATATTATACACATTCTTTCTCCGCCTGCTCATGCCTAAAACACATCTCTTGCATAGCTGTATATTTTACAATTAAAAACTTGACATGTATATATAGAAATTTAGAGTGCAGACTGCACCCATTGTGTTGAATGATTTCTAAGGAATGTGCTTCTAGAAAACTGTTTTTGTTCAGAAATAAAATATACTTCATTGTCATGCCAGCTACTCTTGATTGCAACAACGTCATTATACATTGTAATGCTATCACCAACTCATCACTGGAAAATTCTTTCTTCTCTCATCCATATCATCTAAATAGATCAGGTGGACACACACATATATATAATATAAAAATATGGAAGAAGAATTTATTACCAAATTAAACTTAATTAGAATGGTCCTTTAAATTCTTACTTTTAATTACACGCATCCCCTTTTCAAGGCTCCATATTGTGTCATGTATCATTATGCTTTTTCCCTGCAGTAACCAGAGTGTGAAATCTTTTGCTCAACTGCTAAGAAGAACTAAAAGAATTTCCACACTTATAGATAGTGCAGCAACTAACTATGCACCAATCTGCCTTTCTGCTGACAACATGTAGCTTAGCCTCTGCTAGGTATTCTCCCTTATGTAAGATGTAACCGCATATCTAAAATTCTGAAGCACATTAAGCACCCTAGTGTTAACCAATTAAGAGGATATCTGCTAAGACTTTCCAAACTTATAATAGTACTGCAACTAACTACACATCCTCTTATACTACTCTGCTTTCCTGCTGGCAACATGTCATTCAGCTTCTGCTGGCTATTTTCTCTTATGTGACATGTTATTGTAATCTAAAATTGTGTGGTGCGATTAACAACCTAGCATTTTACCAATTAAAAGGGTACAGTGGGTACCAATTAAAAGGGTACATATTTAAAAAAAAAAAAAAAACAGCAGTTTGCTTTGCTGTATGAGCATATGACATCAAACTGGACTCACGATCATTTTATTATAATTCAATTAGATTATTTAAGTAGTTATAATATAATTCCGACAAATATTTATAGCTTTTTGGAAAATAATTATTTGATTTTGCAGTGTCTTAAAATTTACATGATTTTATGCTTTTAATACCTAACAATTAACGACACTAGTGAATTAATAAAAATTAGTAACTACTTTTTAAAAACATCTGGGACTCAAAAAGCCACTTCTCAGTATACTTACAAGTTTTGCATAAGCTTGCAAAAGCACATCAGCAACATCAGTATGACCATTTTCACATGCATACGTTAAGGCTGAATCACCAGTAGCTGTAACAGCATTTACATTAGCACCTATAAAATAAAAATAAAAAATATTAGGAAACTTTGCAGTTACATATTTACTATTTGAATAAAAATTTTTAAAATACTCACATGAATAACTGAAAACAGTACATGTTAATTCATATAGTATACATAATGAAAAATGGAAGTGAAATTTATGATATTAAATAGTATATTTATATTATAAAAACTTAAATAATTTAGATGTATAAAAAAATTATACACTGAGCTCCAGATTATTTGAAATCTGAAAATTCTAATTTAATTTGTATCCACCTCAGTGTAAATAACTGAAATTTTTCAATCGTATCGCACACATACAAAAAAGGCATCAAGATACTAAATGATTATTTTCCTCCGTAACTCAATGAATACTACAGGTAGTGTGGTATGAGATTTACTAATCACTAAAAATTCACATGTGAAAATGTTCTCAATTCTCATATTAAATGTGGCAAATTTTTTAAATAATTCCTTCCCTTTAATTCACCTTCATTTCACTGCAGTTAAAATGGGTTTTCAATGGAATGACGCATGTCATGAATTTAATACTACTTACCTGCACTTATAAGATATTTGACAAGCTCAAGATGGCCTTCTTGTGCAGCCTCCATTAGTGGTGTACTAGCACCTAATTCTATATCAGCACCAGCTTTTACAAGAAAATCTGCAACTTCTAAAAACCCACCACAGCATGCTAACGTCAAAGCAGTTTCCTGAGTCTCTTCAGTTTGAGCATTAATATCAGCTCCTGGTAAGGAGGAAAAAATTGTAAGAATGCAATGACAGCAATAGGTTTCATTTCTACAGAGTTTTTTTAAGTATGATCAGATTCCTAGAAAATACCTGAAAAAAAGGCAAAAGATTCTGTTTTAAATTAGCAGAATGAAGGACTGCCATTGAGGAAAAGAGTATTTTATTCTGTCCTTACTTACAGATATCAATCAAAAACATCCTTAAATTGCATTTGATAACGGTCAAAATGGATATTTTCATTGAATATGCTGCCTGAAACTTTTCGCGATTAATATACTTCCTTTTTACTTCGTACAAGGAAGTAAAAATCTACTCTTGCCCACTGTTCTGCGGGTGGTGGTCGCACTGTGAAACCATCGCGCATCTAGGATTTGAAACTTACCTAGATAGTAATGGGGAAAAACTTATTTTTCTCTGTGCGCTGATGAAATTTACGAATTAAAAAAAAAAAAAAAATGTATGTTGGAATTGCATAATATATATATATTTTACAAAGTAAATTGTCAGAAAAATTAAAAAATAAACATTTACATAATTTTTCTATAGCAGTGAAAATATAAGTACCTACATAATAAAGACGTTTGGCTACATGGATTAAAAAACTCAGTAAAATAAGGATTAAAAAAAAGACTGGGAGAAGTTTTTTTTTTTTTTTTTAATTTCAAAGAACAAATATTTTTTGTGACACTGTTCAAAGCATGTTTTGTTTTTTTGGTACATGCATAGACCCACACTGCAAGTTTCGCACATGTAGCTTCTTCTATGAGGTTTCTTCTTTGTGCTATAAAATGTATACCGATTGGATCTGAATTTCACTGGTATATGTCCAGCGTTATTTAGTTTCTTTTCATCTGGCACATGAAATTTGTGGTTTTTTTATGTTAATGGGTGGAGGCTTGGTCTTGTTGGCTTTGGTACAGATCATTCATTTCCTATTCATACTTATTTTATTTGTATTTCGTCCCAAAACATTCAGAAAATAATTTTAATTTAAATAAAACTTTACGCAATTTCTATTTTTAATTATAGCAAGTATATTTACATTAAATTTAAAACAGGAAATAATTATAAAATCACAATACTAGCGTGAGGAGCAAGTGTGTTGAGGTCAGAGAAAAATCTCTGGAAAAGAAAGACCTTTTTACTGGGCAGGTGCACGTATTGTTTAGTAATAAAATAACTCTGTGGTTTCAAAACCACTTACTTATATCGGGGTAAAAATAAACATTCCTATTTGAGAAGCAAGCAAATGCCATTGTGAAAAGCGGTGGTTTCAAGGCGCAACCACCGAGCCTCTAGAGTAATGTGAGCATTTTGACACAATGCTTTAGTGTTGCAGTTGTCGCACTCTGAAACCACAAAGCAAATGCCATACATATAGAGGATTTTTTATATGTGCAGTTTAATCATTGCTATTTTTTATTGTTTATGATAGAAATCATGATGTGAGATGAACTTTGAAATTTAAGTTGTTATAATAATAAAAGAAGTTATTTGTCTCATGGAAAACAAATTTTAAAAAGCATCCGATTTAAAGTACTAAGACTTAAAAAATGTATGATTCTGCAGTCATTTTGTGTTATTTAGAGGTAAAAGATCAGTAAGCAATTGATTTTCACTCAAAAATTTCAGAAGGAAGAGAAAAAAAATTCGAAAATTGGTGATTTCAAGGCGCGACCACCGCGCGTCAAAGTGTTAAATTCTTGATAATTCTACAATTATTGCATGCAGATTAACTAAAGGCATAAAATCCTTCAGCGGAACATAAGAAAACATAAGTCAATCACTTTTAAAGCAAAAAATGCAGAATTTACCAACACATAAGAATAAAAAAGCTGACCTCACCAAGCCCAGTAATAAAATGGATATTTATATAATTTATTACTTAGCTGTAGCTTAAGTATTCAGCTTTTTAAATTACTCATAAACTTTTGATGCAGCCAATTGCAACCTAAAAGGAAGGTGCTCAACTACATATTACAGCACTCCCATACACAAAATTTCAGCATTCTGAGGCTACTTGTTTTTTAGTTATGCGAGATACATACGTACCATACAGACATTCATGGAAAAAGCTCTCCTTAATCCATTTTAAATGTTTTTTTTTTCAACCTTGTTTTCGGGAAAAGAGACCTTTATTCTGACCTTACATACACGTCACACAAAAACATAGTTCAGATAGATTTAAGAATAGTCAAAATGAAAATTTTCATTGAAATACGATACCTGACATTTTTCACAATTGCAATACCTCCTTTACTTCATACAAGGAAGTAAAAATACACAAGGTTACAAAACTGTATATGTCTGTTATTTGGTAGAAAACACAGAATACCTACTTTGGAAAGACATAACTTTTTACTTATAAAAGCATTAATGATGCCAGTCCTTCTGTCAAGAATAAAAACTACAAAATCTAGAAGAAGCTACCACTGTTTAGTGGTCTTTCAAGTTTAGCTCAGAAAACCGAAGAATGGTTGGGAAAAAAATTCTGATGAAAACAGTGTATCAGTAAAGCGGTGACAAACTTTCAGGAAAGATAGAGTACATCTAGACGATGGAAAATCACATTGCAATGCATGGTCAGAAACGCTTTCCTGGTGCGATAATGACAACACAAAATGCAAAAAAGAAAGACACAAACAGTGAGACAAGATGTGCTTTATTATGTTTAGTACAGCAGAAACCAACAAATAAGAACCAAAACAAACAAAGATTGTCATTAAAAGAAGGTGTTCGAAATTACGACTACAGACCGTGATGCAGGACTCACTCCTCCGGCAGTCCGGGTTGTAATTTCGAACACCTCTTTGACGGAAATCATTATCTCTTTATGCTGTTCTTTCTTTGTTTCTGTTATACTCTGGATAATAAACATGTTTTGTCTCCCCCCGTTCATGTTCTTTCTTTCTTGATTTTTGTGTCGTCACTACCGTGGCAGGAAAGTGTTCCCAAACATGCATTCCTGTGTGATTTCCCATCATCTAGGTCTACTTTCTCTCTCCTGAAAGTTTGTCACTACTGTACTGATACACCCTGTATATGAACTAGAATTGATTTCTGAATAAATATAATTTAGATAAAATAATTTATTTTCTTTCACTTCCTAGCATAAATACTACATAAAATCCAACTACAAAAAATTATCTATATTATTTTTATTATCACCTTGACTAAGTAAAAGCGCAACCATTTCCTCATGTCCCTCTCTTGCAGCTTCCATCAAAGGAGTATAACCTTCATCATTAACTTCTTCTATATTTGCCCCTCGATCTAAGAGAAGCATTGCGAGTTCAACATGGCCTCCACAAGCAGCTAATGTAAGAGGGGATTCAAAACTGTCTGCAGGCATATTAACCTGAAATAACAAATTACACTTTGACTGGAAATTCAATAGAATACTAAATACTTAAAACAACTAAAAAAAATGTTACATTTTGGATATCCCAAAGTGATCAATCATTGTAAGAGCAATGTCCACTAGCTTGATGGTTAATTTCATGTTTATTAGAAGTGGCCGAGCGGTAAATACGCCAAACACTGGTTGTTAGGTCCAAGGTTCAAATCCCATGTTTGACTGCTTGGTCATTTTCCCCATGTGTAACGTGTGCACAAACCAGCTTCCCCTAGAAAATCCTCCATGAAGGCATCTCTTCCCTTAGGCAGTACCTAGTACCTTAGTACCATTTATTGAATATGACATATTACCATAAAATACCGTAGATAATGATAATGGCCATTTCATTACTGAATAAAAGATATTTAGGTAACTATCATCATAGCATACTTACCATATTAAAATACTTACCATAATTACCATAATTGAATATGCCATATTACCATAAAATACTGTAGATAATGATAATAGCCATTTCATTAATGAATAAAAGATATTTAGCTAATTATCATCAGAGCATACTTCCCAACCCATGACACTCAAAAATCGGGCGATTTTTCTCAATAATCAAAAGATTTTTTAAATGATAAAAATCTTTTCTTTAATAATGAATTAACTTAAATTAGTTACTAATTTAATATCGGAAAGTTCAGTTACTAATTCTTAAATGCAAACAGTACAAAAATACTTAAATGTAAAAAAACATTTTTATTTACAGCTTTAAACAAAAACTTAATCAGTTTTCATTTAAATGCCATGAACAGTGGCACGAAAGAAACTTTATAATTTTGTTCACAGCAATTGCCATGTAGGCCTCTTTTTGCTAATAAAAGTTTTCTAATGTGTCATTACTAATATTATACCTAAATTTAGAACTTGTTTTTGTGACAACAGTGACAATCCTCTTGCATTCTGCAATACTATGGGGAACTGTCAGGATGGCCAACATTATTCTAGACAGCTCACTATACTTTAAAATTCCATCAGTACCCTTCAGTTTTCCAATTAAACTCCATTAGGTGTCAATTCTAGCTGATTTTACAATTTTATCCAAGTTGTCTAATTGTAAACTGCAAAATTGAGATTGCAATTATCAGTTGCAACCTCAATAACATAATATTTCATGACTAAATGAAGTAAAACTGAAAATCTACCCAAAAATATCTTGTACCAGAAAAAGATCCATTTGCCAGAACAGAAACATCTGCAACTTTAGTATGTAAAATCACATCTGATTGGAAATTTATGTAATATGTAGTCACATACTCGACAGAAGTAGCTTCATAGTGGAAATAAAAATTATTTTTGTCTTCCTATGAAAGTTCTTCCACTACTTTGCTAGCTGCAGCCACAATTACGAAATCTTCATCTTTCTTCTGATTTTCTATTTTAGCATAAATCACATCATATATAAAATTAGAAGACAAAAAGATTGATTTTATAAACTTTGATAAAATGTCTTTAAACAGATCATAAATCACTGGTTCCAAAGCTTGAATTAACGGAATTCTGCTTCTTAGAACTGTGTAAAGAACATCAAATGATGGCAAAATGAATTGTACAAAAAAGCAAAAAGCTTTGCTGAGGTTCAAAGACAAAAACGGAAATATTCGTCCTTCACAAGATAAACTACAATAATTGGAAAATGTTTCCCTTCTTGAGCAATTTTTTAAGCTGACAGAAATTTTTATCAGCTTTACACTTATATTTTGTAGCATTATTTTGTGAACTGCCAATTAAATTGTTTACTGGTGCAGAAATTACATTTTCTCAAACCTATTTTTAGCAGTGGAAGTAGTAATTTTTTAATACAGCCTTTTATCTAGAACTCTAGAAGCATTTACTGCTTCTTTAAAAAATGAAAGAACTGGCTGCCATTGGTCGAGGATTCTTGGTACGCATGTCTTTAAAGACAGTCAGCGTGTACATTATACGCTTCAAAATTTTTCTTATTTCAGTATTATGCAGCTGTTGGAATTGTTTCAATTTTTACTTCCTTTTAGAATGCCTTTCAAGATAACAATAAATATCAGCATTGAAACATGCCTGCAACAGCAGTATTCAAGCTTAGCATTGCTGGTGCATTATCAGCATCAAGTGCTAAGCAATTATCCTGAGGAATTGCATTATCTTATAAAGTTTTAATAAATAGCTGTGCTATATTAAAGTCTGTCTAATGTCCTTCTAAAGTGGGGAGAGAAAGTAAACTACACTCAACGTCTGAAGACACTGGATTAAAAAAAGAAACAACATTAGATTTGCTTTTATTGCTTCCATTCATAGAGAGCAGAATGGAACTGTTTTAATGCAATCGGTAACTGAAAATTAAATTTCCATACCCATTTCTTTAACAGCTGCAGTCATTTTGGCCCTTGCACTTGAGTATTTCATAATGATGCTGCTACCAGGAAAACATTTTTCTAAATAAAGCAGCAGCATGATCTGATGCAATCAGCAACATGTTGTGCTTCAGTAAAAAGGCAGAAAACAGACATTCAGTATTAATGACTTTTTGGTCCTTTGCTTCCACAGAAAGATTTTTTTTTTTTTTTTCCAATGGAACTCATGTTGTTATTTACATATGCAAATGTTCAAGAACATCAGCCCTTCCACCATGCAAAACTGAAAATTTGCAATGACAAATGGTACACGCTGCAGATGTTTTACATTTCCTTGAGGAAATAAAAGGAGGAAAGACATCTGTGTACGATTTTTGAAAAGTACACAAAGATTTTACCTTTTTCACAGACATAAGTAAAACAAAAGATCGTAATTTTTTAATCTATTTCTCGAAAGCAGGTGCACTCACACCGTTTAGCAAAGATGAATAAAATAACAACCTCGCTCTTGCTTTGTGCTCACTGGCTAACATGTCAGATGAAACGCAATGGTGCCCCATGCGTTTTGGAGAACTAGAACACGACGTTTTCAGACATGTGCTCTCACTCGCAAAGCACAGGTGAGCCATAATTTCTCCCTGATAAAATGACTTTGATTTTCTTTCATAAGTAATCTAGAGAAAAACAAAGTGTTTTCAGATACCCCAAATCAATTTTTTTTCAAAGGAAGAGGTGGTGCAAATAACAAAGTATTAAACCAAGTTACCTCAAAATCATAAGAAATTTTAATGGCAGGACAGCTGTCAGAAATAAGGAGTCATGCGTCTAAAACGGGAGAGGTGGTAAATCTGTTACAGGCAAGGGAAAGACCCCAAGCAAGCAAATTTATTCATGGGAAATTAAGTAATAAATAAAGTTGTAAAATCCTACTGTAGAATCATATAATCTTTTGAAAGAGGTCATATCTCTTATGTGAAGGAGGGAGGCAGACTCTTACTAAGAATTAGAAGATCGAAAATTTTCTAAGCAGGAAGCCATGAAACAAAAACATAATGGTTAGAACTACAGGTATAAAACCACAGGTATAAAAAAATAGCAGCTTAAAAAATCTCAACAATGATATATAATTTTTTTTAAGTCAATGCTTTCTAGAAGGAAGAAACATTTTAAACATATTGCATGTAATTTTACTAAAAGACCAACAGTTTCCTGGACAGCAGGATTCATTAATCACCAAAAGGAACCTCTTGAATATAACGCATATAATTTACAGCAATTCCAGCAATTTTGGATTCCACAGACAGCAGACACAGACTGTAATATACAGAAACATGTCAAGAGTTAAACAATTTTATCATTTAATTCAATGGCATAACTTATTCTACAAGTCGAAGCATATCTGTACGAATCAACTCATAGTGAGGCTTCTGCGAAGAGCTTCATCTAACAAAAGCCGACTACGAGATAATTCGTAGGATCCTTTTTTAACAAAAATCCTGTCAACTTTGTAATGATTGTTACGAATCATAACTAGTATTTTTAATAACATAATATGATTAAACCGATTTGGCTTCTCGGACCGGAATCCTAAAAAGTGCCGTGGCAATCAACGTGTTAATTAGGAAATCTAAAACAAAGTTGGTAGAATCTCAATGAAGTAAACCAAAACTTGTAAACAACTTATTATTTAGAGAACTGATAACTTACTGAAAAAAAAAAAAAAAAAAAAAAATCTTTAAAATGTATTTCATTTGTAATAAATTACCAGTGCCTTTAAAATCATTTAATAAACTTTTTGAGCAGCAAAGAGCTGCAATTAAACAATATTTATTTAGCTAAATTCACATAATTATTTATTTGCATCTTTGTTTCAACATCCCATTCATACGAATAACACATAGATTACCAATAAATAAATGAAACTTTTAAATAACAAGGTATCAAATAACAAAAAATCTTATGACTGGATAAAAGCACATATGCATAAGGGTTAATAATATAGTTGTATAAACATCTAAGACATAACAGGAGCTAAAAACAAATTTACATTTTAGAAACATATTCAATCAAAAATTATTTGATTAAAATACTTACTTGTGCACCTGAATCTAGTAACAAGCGAGCAACTTCAACATGGCCATCCATTGAGGCTTCCATAAGTGCAGTGTGCATTTCATCTGTTTTATGTTCTCTATCGGCACCAGCTTCCAAAAGGAAACGAACCATTTCTAAATGGCCTATAGAAGGGAAAGAAAATTACGAATAAAAGTTTTAAACTCCTAAACAAAATTATGAAATTTTAAACAATAATTCTAAAAACATTCACATTCATAAAAGAAGCCCTTTTAGAAGAAATAAAGAATATACACTCTTTGATTCCCCTTCCCAAATCAAAAGAATCAATAAAATTCAGTAGCAACAAACCTGATTCTACATGACGAGAAGAAATTAGTCACTTGACACATGAAATTATTTCATTCTACTTACAATTATTTATCCAAAACAACCATATATAACTACCATTATCCCTGCACAGCTAGATTCCTGAATGTCCTCCTACTCATCTATGTTAGCAGGTGTGATGTCACATGCTGGATGACTTCAAGCATACTTACCCACAGAGCATCACTGTCCCCACCCCATACTGCTTCTTTCTGATGTATGATTTGTTGATCCCTCACAGGGTGTAAGGTCTGGACTTCAAGGTGGCCAAGGATAGAATCCAAAATAATGTTCAGGCAAAACACTACCTTCTCCCACGTGATCAAAATATGATGACTTGGCAACTTCATACCAAACCATTCACAAAACTTACCCATCACTTATATCATATTTTCATTGTTGTGCTTCCATTCATAGACCCATACATTTATCACTATGAGATCCTCTAAAGTGAAGTTGCTGGCATCTGTCGCTATTCTTCACCAAGCACAGAAAGGTGAGATAATGAACTGGTCAACACACAAACATTATTCTTACAATGAAATTTACACGAAGAGCACTGTTGCAATATCAATGATCATGACATGAGCTTTAAATCTTAACATCTTACTATATTACACTGTTATATGCATTTAGTTCAGGTGTAAAGGGACTTTCTGGCCACACTGTTCAAATCCCTTTCGATTAAAATACAGATGACATAATGTAAAAAAAGAACCTTACCTTAAAAGCAGGATGGCAAGATATTTTTGGACCTATTAAATTATTCTTCACATAAAATCAATAAAATACAGGTATACCTCACATTCAGCCTTTGATCAATTCAGTTTTGCTATAGCCCAATTTTTTAAACCAATACAAATTCTAAATTAATAAATTTTTATTAGTAACAATTATTAATTATGCCCTAACCATAACATCTATTGATTGAATGCAGTATATTGGCAAAAAATTTTAGCTAAAGTAATAGGAAAAAGCCTAAAAGTAGAAGGTAATGTTAAAAATTTATGTTGCTCACAGATTGAGTATACGTAAAAATCACAAATTCAGTATACGTAGGTTCTGTAGTTTATGGGCTGTAATTACAATCCTTGGTGGTTTTATTATATATATTTTGATGAAAATCCTAAAAGCGTATTGCTAATTTGCAAGCGTTTTAATGTCCATTTTTCCTTTAAATTCTTGGTTAATTTTAGGTTAATCAAAATTGCAATAACAACCTTGTATTTAACATACATATATTAAAACAATCGATTTCGAGGGCAGCTAAAGGTCCCTCCTCATCAGAACAAAATTACTAGAAAGGGAAAAAAAGAAGAAAAATAAAGCATTGGCAAAGGAGTCTCAGAAACACATGGTCGTTATCAGCACCGCACGTGGTCGTAACCAGATTTCGAATCAGAGTTATACTAGCCGCCTACTTTTACTGAACCAGGCTATCTGATCAAACATATAACACATAGACTAGAAGGCAAAAAAAAATAGGGAGCAAGGGGCAACTGCACCTTCACACATCAAGTCTGAACCTCGAATAAAGGGAAAGCAACCTCTGCAACAGCTTTTTATGTGCGAGGAGGCGACGCCATCTATCGGCAAAAACAATAACCAAGAATTATGTTAATAGAATTTTAAAGGTGTTAGGAAGGACAGGATTGGACTTAAAATCATTCACTAAACATGCTAAATCCTTCTGAATACGAAAAGCCTCAAGAAAATCCAATTAACCAACGGAAGAAGCCTTTTGGTTAATTTTTGCAGATACAAAGTCAAAATTATGATTAAATTCCCAACTATGATATGCTATTGAAGACTTGTTAATTTCCCCTTTTCGGACATAAGATTCATGTTCCTTGATACGAAACTTTAATGCTCTTTTTGTTTGGTCAATATATCTCAAGCCACACTGATACGATGTACTATAAATTCCCCAAGAATTAATGTCAGAAACGCAATCTTTTAACATCGAACCCTGAATTTTATTGATAGGGGAGAAAATGACTTGAAAATTGAATTTCAGGAGAATCCGTGCAACTTTATAACTAACAGAAGGATAAAATGGAAGCACAACAAGGTCATTAATATTATTTCTAACAGTGGAATGTCTTCTTTGATGGGAATCTGAAAATAATCATAGCTTGTTATTTTTCAATTAATTTTTCCTGTGCATTGTTAGGTGTTTCAATGTTTTTTGACTGTTAACGCTATTGGACTAATTCTTTTGAAATGATGTCTTTTTAAACTGCTGTTGCTTGCTTCATTTTAATTGTCAAAGATTTTAGTTAATTTTCAGTTTGATTCAGTCAGTCAATGATTATAGTTCTGTTTGTTGAACTTATTTCATCAGGTTCTAATCATTAATAAAAGATATGATCTATCACCACTAAATTTTTATACGCTGGTATTTAAGATATCTAGTGTTGCTTTAATTTTTAAGTCTATATACTTCAAAGACTGTATCAATATTTTCATTTTCATTAAAATAACATACAACATGAAACATCTGTAGACTCATCCAGTACTAGAGAAAATGATGATTTATTAATTTCAGATTTCATTTTTCAGATTTCATTTCAGATTTGAACAATTCATACAAAATGACTTTCTTTACAAATGCTGCGCATTTTGCCCTGTGTAAACATAAAATCTCAGATGACGAATTTGACACCTTTTCTTACACATTTCACTAAAATGGTTGACAACCATATTGATGCATGAAAAACAATAAATACAAAAAGTTTAAATTTATTTATGCTGCTCACTTTTCAAATCATTTTTTTATATGTGATTGGATTTTATAAATGATCAGCAGGATTTGTAGAAAATTTTTCTTATGCTTTAAAATATCATTGTGCTTTAAATCTGTTTTGCATGGCTTCAGTTCATATTTAAATAGACTGCAATAAGCTTTAGGCTTATTTACTTTCATTCTTTCTAGCCACTTCTCAAACATGGCTATTTTACACCAAGCATTTTAAAAGATAACATTGAATTTTTTTCAAGTTACTTTAATTCACAGTTTAGTTAACACAACAGATATAATGTAATCTCAAAGCCTGCTCTTGGATCACCAAAATATTACACAAAGCAATCAATCAAATACATGACAACACAAATCACTAGTGCTGAAACTAAATGTACAGTGTGAAAAAAAAAAGGGGGGGACAGTTCTATATTTCCCGTTCTACAGGGCTGATTGACAAAATTCAAATTGTGTTTTTCATGTCCCGAAAGCTCGACTTAGGATATACATTAAATTTATATATAGCACTATTCTAACATAGGTATTTTGACATAAAATCAGACTTTTTCTGAAATAACATACCAATTTTTTTACATATTTCGATTCTACGACTCAAATTATGCCAGACTGTCAAGTTTTGTAAAAATCGTATGAGTAGTTTTTAAAAAATTAGCACTCAAAATTTTAGCTCCTCAATATTAATTGAATTTGGCATATATTTATTAATATCTCTTTTTTTTATTACACTTTTTTGATTCTTCCTTTCACATTTCGAAATTTAGGTTCATTAAAAATATAATTCAGACATTTTTTGTGTTTTATTTTTAAAATTTCTATTTTTATATAATTTTTATAAATTTTTCGAAAAAATTTTGAATTATAACCTATAAAATTTTTCCATCATCTTAAAGTAGGTGTAGTTAGTTCTAAGCATACCTGCAAAAAAACTAGTTTTTTATTCAAAATTCTCTAAAATATACACGAATTCACATTTTCGCATATTGAAGTTTGGCATCTTTTTTTTTGAGCGATAATAATGCCAAATGTGAATTATGGATTTTTGTTACAGTAAATTACCACAGCCATTTTTAACCTTAAATTTCAAATAAATTTTTACCGAGAATTAATTATATGAAATTTTTTCCCTCAGTATGTGTTATAAATGTTAATTAATACTATATAAAAAGCTATTTTTTTTAAATAATAGATAATACTATTCACATTTTTAATTTTTTTTAAATTTATTTCCTTCTTCCTTTTTTTAAAAATATTTGCAAGAGTAAATTTTTACCTTCGCCGTGTTATCATCTGCTACTCTACTTTGACTGCATTTAAATTTAATTGTTTAAAACTGAGAAATGACTTGATGAATAAACTTGATGTTTATTTTCACAATGTTTTTAAGCAAACAGGATGTTGACAATTTGGGTCATGTCTCAGCTTTAAAAATTATATATATAAGTATAAATTTTTACATTAATCCTCTTTGAAAGAATGTTTTAAGAAGCTAATTTTCTCTTGTGTTATAGATTCTATAAAAAACATGATCTTTAGTATGATTTAGATTGTTTGCAGCAGATATAATAATCGGGTTACTCAGTGGTACAGAATAAACACTGCTAAACTGTTTCATTTCTTTGTCATTTAGCAAAAAATCTTTTAATTAAAATATTTATCCTTTGGACTTTACTTTAAACTTTATTTATAGTTAAAATGTTAGAAAATGAAAAGCTATCTTCAAATGAAATGCATTTGTTGTAATTGTTATTTTAAAAAAATTGACAAGATTGCAAAATTTATGGAAGTGTAACAATCAAAAAATCTTAATTTTCTTGTGGTGAGCACAGAAAATAAATGTAGAAGGAAGAAGAAATGTAGGTAGAAAAGGAAGCAAAAATTTGAAGGGGATTTTAGCTGTCAGAAATACCAAAGTGTTTCAAAAAGTTGGATACTTTTGAATATACTTTCAGAATACTTCAAGAAATTTGGGTGTTCAAAGAAAAACACTTGGACGTGTACACTAGCAAATACCATCAATCTGTGCTAACAGAAAAGACAAAAACGATATCATTGCAGATTAAAGTGAAGAGTGACTGGTTTTTGACTATATGTTTGTATAAATTTAAATTACATTATAGAACATCATATAATAATAAATGGAGAATCCCATGATTTTAGTCGAATTATTTGAATACTCATAAATTTATTCAGTAATGTACGTGGATGTCACTTAAAGACATTTTCCCTCTTGATGAAACCAGTCTTTCCTTTCATCTCATGTCTTAATACGCTTAGCCTCTAAAGACTGATAACCAAGTACTGATGAATGCTCAGACCAAGTACTGATGAAATGGATTGAATTGGATTATTAAGTTATGGCAAAGAAGGGCTATTTAACCTAGAAGGCCTTCGTGAAGAACTTTCTAAGGGAAACCAGCTGGCATAAACGTTACAATGAGGACCACGAAAACGCCCATGCAACCAGCCCGTTCGCCGGGATTCAAACCTTGGAGCGAACTACCAGTGTTCAGCGACTTTACCACTCAGCCATTTGTGGGTCTTTATGAAATGGAAGGTGATAATTTTATTCAAAGTGAATGTCAAAAATACCAAGATGTTTCGAAAATGTGGATGCTTTTTAAAATACTTTCAGAATGCCTGAAGAAAAAGAGCAAGCCATTAAGAAGAAAAAATAAATTTTTGCACAAAATATGTATTTTTTTTATTTAAAACTTTTTAATCTTATTATACTTGATTCTTGCAATTTAAAAAATATAATATTTGACTAAAATATGAATAACATTTCAAAAAACTAAATGTAGGATGATAAAATTGTGTAAAACAATGAGCACAATGTTAAAGCTATTTAAAGCAACATATGCAAGTCATCCTAAGTTAAAATGTTGGTTATACATCTTTCTCATTTATATATCTTTACCGAATGGAATACTGAAAGGTGTGTTGACTGTGCTTTACTGTATTTTCTCTTTTAATATATTCAGTTTTTAGATGCATCATAGTCTGGGACACAAAGCATTCTTTTGATAGAAAGACAATTCAAATAAACAAAATAAAAGCCTGGAAAATTTATATTAATAAATGTATTTTAAATGCTCAATTAGAATGAAAAAATAGTAAATTTGAAAAGACAATGCAACAAACAATTAAAATATAAAAGTCTAAAAATTTAAAAATTACCTAAAATAATAACTGGCAAAAAAAAATTATAAAGAAAACTATTTGAAAAAATAAACGATGCACCTTATAATTAAACTACGCAATTTGAATGGGTGAAAAGAAATTTTTAAAACAGTTATTCGAAAGAAACCATGCAACTTAAACAATTAAAATGAAATTCGAAAAAAAAAAAAAAAAAAAAATTTAAAATAATAACATAAAAATATAATATAAAGAACATTATTTGAAAGAAAGAACGTTGTAATTTTTGTCCCTCTCACGGAAAAGGAAAATGGGTAGAAAGAAGTTCACCAAGTGAACTATTCTTGGCGTAAACTGAACAAAAATCACCAACATAAATTTGTGAATTTCACACCAAATTTTACAAAATTTCACATTTAGGCATAATTTGAGTCATAGAGTCATAGAATCGAAATATGGAAAAAAAATTGATATGTTATTTCAGAAAAGGTTCGATTTTGTGTTAAAATAAATATGTTAGAATAGAGCTATTTATAAATCTAATACGTATTTTAAGTTGCGCTTTCGAGACATGAAGAAAGCAATTTGAATTTCGTCAATCGGCTCAGTAGAACGGGAGAAATAGAGCTGTCCCCCCTTTTTTTGGCGTACTGTACAGGTGCGATGATTGCAGGATTGGCATTATGAACTTTTGCTTAAGTTTAAACAGATTATTACTTTTATTATAAAATTTTTTTAAATACACTATTTTAACATATACATACTTTTTAAAGTAGCAAAAAGTAGAACAAGAAAATGAGAGAATAACAGAAAATTCGCAGAATCATAAATTTTAATACTACAGGTTTGTTAAAAGTAGCATATTTGTGAAAAACTGCATAATCTGCCACGTAGTTCTGTATATTAAATTAAAATACAGCATAAAACTGAAATGGGCATGTAGCCTGTATTAAGTGTTTCTTTAATTAAGAAACATTAAGAGACTATTATGACTCAAATTTTGTAAACTTCAATTAAAAAAGTGCATTTTTTATGAAAATAGGCATCTAAAATGGAACAGACAAAAAATTAGCTCAAGTCTTCTTTATACTTATCTATTTTTAAATCTAAATATCATTACTTCAAACTGAAATTCAAGCAAAAGCATTAAGTCTTTACAATGGCATAAAGGAAACGGAGAAAATAAAAGGGCAGAATCAAGTGATTTAGTGCAAATTCTGGCTAGTTTTTAGTTTTTGTATTCTTATGTCCTATTATTTCCCTGTTAATGTAAATTTCAGTCACTAAATTAAAATATACAAAACAGTAAAATTTCAGACATTCTTTGTTTAATAGCATATTAACCCTCACTGCCCTTCTTTCCCCGCAAAATAGAATAAAAATTTCCATATTTCAAACCTACATATATTTTAAAGTTAAAATTATATAAAATTTTTGTAGAAAAGTTTTTTTTAATATAGAATTAAATAATAAAAAAATGTTGAAAAACTGAAATTGAAGAATAATCATACAAAAGCAAAATTTTAAAACTTAAATCTTGGTTAAATTAAGATTTATTTTATGAAATAAAAGCTAAAATGCATATACTAATGAAAATATACAAAATATTTACAAAACATTTGTTAGAAATAAAGTTGAGCATAATAAACTTCGAAACAAGGCTCGAGGCAAAGTCCTGTCTCATAATCTTTGTACCAAATTTGCATTTCTTTGCGAAATTTTTGGCACAGTTCCTTTATTTATTTATTTATTTAAATTATTGTTTAGCAACAAACAGCACACTGTCTACGAGGCTCTTTCTTGATGGAATTAAGGGGGGGGGTACATGGCCAGCAAAATGTTGAGCAGTTAGTCTCATGGGATTGAGAGTTGAACTATACACATCTTTGAGCTTTGAAAAGAGCACACAAAATGATGCTAAACATGCTTGTATATTTCACAGTAATGCCATCTGTTAACCCAGATATGAATAAACAAATTAACACCACAGAAAAACTGAAATGGAACCATGGATGGGATAAGAACAGGTTGCACAGTTAAATAGACAGAAAAAATGCATCCCTGCGGAAATCGCGGGTTGCGCAAATTTTGTTACTTCTATACTGTGAGAGAGAGTTTAAAAAAAAATATCATGTTTAAAACAAAAAAATATTCTTGGAACCAAATTAGCATTTTTTCTCTAATTCCTCAAACATTTAAAGGTGGCAAGAGAATCATATAGCTACACTGAGGGAGGCGCATTACTAAACTTAATAAGTGTTAAACTATTGGTTTTGAGCATCGAAGAAACAGAAAGAACTATACAATTGGAAAAGGAAAACAATGCATGCTAAACTTCAAAATAAAAATTTTTCAAGTGAAGGAATGAGCAAGGAATGAGAAGCTAACATAACATGTTGCCTTCCTCAAAACAACTTTTCAACAAACAACTATTTTTCTGCATGTCTCTCCTTTTATAGAATGATTCTGGCTTTTACAAATAGTTTTTCCTTACTCTGTAAAATAAAATGCCCCTTATAATTGACAATATTATAGTTCCATTTATTAGGCTATTTGTAAAAAGTTAATCTATTAAAATCTGCAATTAGTCACTTACTTAAGTTTTAAATTTATTTTACTATTCTACAGTGATTCAGATTCACAAACCTTTATAGCAGGCCAAAGTAAGAGCACTTTCTTTAAATTCATTTGAATGAGTGTTAATGCTGGCACCTCTGTCTACAAGAAGCTTGGCAACTTCAACATGGCCGGCACTTGCTGCTTCCATCAAAGGTGTATGTCCATTTTCATTGTGATCCTCAACTCTTGCACCAGCATCAAGTAAAACTCTAACAATAGCCTCGTGTCCAGCTGCACAAGCAAACATGAGGGGCGTGTTTCCTTCGGGACACACAATTGAGGGCAATGTGCTATGGATTTCTTGTTGTGACTTCATATTTATGTCTTGATTTTTTACCTTAGCACCTTTCAACTTTTTCTCTTTAAAAAATAAATAAATAAAGTTAGTTGGCAGTATGAAAGGACTGAAAGATTAGTGCAATTTTTCAGACACTACACAGCTTGGAAACAAATCATACAGCATTTCATCCTGGATACAAAATAAAAAATTAAATGCTTATTCAAAATTATTATTGTTAATCTATATTACAGGATGTCAGAAACACATAAAATATTTAAATTAATTTAAATCAATAGTCTTCACTAATGTTAAGTAGATACAAAGACTAACTCTTAAAGTCGTCTACAACCCATTCACTCAGTATGTAAAATTTTTTCTTCAACAAGCTAAGAACTCATACTTACATAAAATAACACTCTCAGTTACAATAACAACATAAAGTATCTTTCAAAAAAGAATATAATAAACTAAATTTCTAACAAATAAGTCAAATATAAGTTCAAAAACTTAAAAAAAAAAAAAAAAAAAAAAAAAATTAAAGTTTACATACACAATTTTGTGTACATGGGGGGGGGGGATCGAGCATTGTGAGGATAATTAATTTGCATTTTTTAACTGGCATTTATGACATAATATTTGAACACTAAATAAAGCATTTCTAGAACATAATTGTATAAATTACATACAAGCGAAATTTAAATCGTTAATATAAGTTGCAGTTTTTAACCAGTATTATGAAAATAAGTCACTAAAAATAAAACTGAGTAAAATTAATAAAACCATTAATGAACTTTATATATGACGCTAAAGAGGCTTTGATGCAACCTGATGGTTTATTGCACATGAAGCTTTCATTTCATGAAATATATACTGCTTTTCCCTATAGGATTAAAAAAATCAGTTACTTAAATTCTTATATTTTCCCTTAAAATAATTTTCAACATAAATGTTGTCATAAATGCTGTCAATAATTCAGAAGCCAAGTATCTAAAATGTTACAGAATATTCTGTACTTTATATATCAAGGATGAAAAAAAAAAAAAAAAACAGCAATGGAGTGTTAATAGATGCAGGAACAAGGTAAGGTTAGGTTAGGTTGTTTGAATATGGCAAAACAGATGAGGTTATCTACCTAAGGGAAGGGATGCCTTTGGTAAGGTCTTTCTTAGGGAAACTGGCTTGCATTCACAATACACATGGAGAAACCAACCACGCAGCCCATTCACATGGGAATAGAACCAGGGTTGAACTCCCCAGTGAGTGACCTTAAGCTCACTGGTGGGACTGACGCAAGAACAAGAAAAACATTCAAAATAGAAACGGGATCTAAGGTTCCCAGTTATCATTTCTACAAGTGCTGAGGTTTATTTGTTCTTTTGGTAGATCTCCTGCCCATTAAATAATGCAAGACGCAGTATGTGTGAAAAATTACTGAGTAAAACAGTTATGTTGCCAGTGGAATCCTTTTGAGGATCAAATTTAACAACTAATTACAGAGACAGAAATCTTCTGTATAGTTTTAAATGTTTATAAAAGTGTTTTCCATAGCAATTCATAATTTATTCACTTCGTTCAAATATGATACTATGTATAATCTGTAACACACACATCTGTTAAGCATTTAACACTGTGCTTAGAAAACAATTTATTATTTTACAAACAACTGACATTCAACAAAATGTTGCATGATGTACACAGTATTTAAATAAAATTATGATTTTATAGTTAAAATATTCTCACACAGAATGATACAATAAAAACAATTTACTTGGATTACTGAATGGTTAAATTAAAATACTTAAAAGTTACAAAAGCATGTTTCTGAATTCCCTACTTACTGCAACTTAAAAAAAAAAAAAAAAAAAAAAAGTCAATAAATACACAAGTATTATTTAACTAAACAAAAACTGTATTTTCTTGAAGCACTGCAAAAATCACCTGACCTTTTTATCTAATATCATAGTGGAATTGTTAATTTAAAATCACTACTCACTGCTTTTTAATAACGGTAAAAGTTAAAGAACTCACCTTGAGATGTTTGGGCATTCACATCAGCACCATGCTGAATAAGTAATTTTACAATTTCTAAATGACCAGCATTTGCAGCTTCCATCAAAGGCGTCATGTCTTTTAAACCCCTATCTTCAACATTTGCTTTCATAGCTAAAAGTAGCTGTAATAAGAAAAAATAACGATTTACACAAATGTTAATAATATAAACCATAAATATTAATCATAAATAATATAAACCATAATGTTTACAGGAAGACAGCTACCTGTAGCATGTGCAAGTGCCATAAACATATATAAAAGATCTGTAGATCTTGAAATATTTATATATTAAACTCCTGAATTCTAAGTTAATTAATGCATAAATATGCTAAAGTAATTGGAAAACCAGATAATTCTAAAATAAGCCCATAAAATTTTAATTAATATAAAAATACATACCTGAATAAGTAATAACTGAATTAATTACTAGTTCAATGTTTAACACTATAATTTGATTAAGAAAAAATAAAACATATATTTATAATAGCCATACTAGCATTCTTCCAAATAGTATGGCAAATGCAGCACAAAGTTGTGATGACATTTAAGTCAAACTTAGTTTAGTTACTTCTACAGTCTTGTAACTAATTTGTCAGCACATTCCTATGCCACTAAGATCATCTTCAATGATCTTCCTCTTTGTGCTCTTTTCTTTGTTTCTTAAAAGTCACTAAACCAAGACAACAAGTCTCGGTCTCAAACAATTTAAAATTTTTCCATTCCTTCACAAAATTTCTAAATACCAGAAATAATGTTAACAGGCTCAAAGCCAATACCTCCTCCTCAGCAGAATCTTCTTGATTCATATTGTACCATAAGGATCAGTTTTCTTCAGCTATAAATTTTAACCTTTAAACCTTCATCCCAAGATACATAGAGATTAAAATTATGAGGTTCTTTAAAAAAGTTACGAAATTTTCAAATATCAATCTAAAGACTTTTTAGCAGAGACGTACAGATAATCCAGAAAATAAATAATTCACATGTACAATGAAAAATCTGCAGTTCAATATAAATCAAAAGGTACAATTATTTATTAAAAAAAAAAAAAAAAAAAAAAACAAGAATTTATTTCACACTGTCACACAAAAATTATCACTTTATTACATTAGAATTTCAAAGCTCTTAATACAAAGAATATGTATTGTTAAGAAGGAAAACTTCGCACCAGCAGGAGTGGCTCCTTTTGAACGAAAAAGGAAACAACTGCGCATGCGTAAATATCTGTCGGCAAAAAACACCAAAGCTGGAAGCTGATGTCGAAGTTTGAACAAGTTTGACAGTCACGTTTATCAAGAATTTAAAGCAGTGTGACTCCATTTTTTTCCCCTCCATATTGACAGATATAAAATCGGACAATTGCGATATGGATAAGGCAAGTTCAACAGCCAGTGACAGTGAAACTTCACCTAATTTTCTTATTCATCTTAACCAGTGTTCCTGAATTTCCTGTACACGTGACAGAGGAGGAAAATCTCGGCCAGGTCTGATACATCACAAAGGGGGAAATTCTCGCCAACATGTTCTGTCGCCAAATCCCTTGGCGAATTTTCCCTCTTATTTCTAGAGGTGTAGAAGACAAACTGGTTTACATTACGTCTATGGAGCCTTTCTTTCTTTACAGAGACGTTATTTGCCAAATATACAATTATAAAAATAGCACTTTTTACACATGGATTTCTCAAGAAATTAATATACAATAAATAATTCCAAAATCATTATTTACATTTATATTCTAAAACGATATTCCAAATGTGGTACTGATTAAATTAAAATTTCTTCCCTATTTCTAAATACCAAACCATTTGTATAATAGTGTAGCATAATGTTATGACATCATTAAGAATATAAGACTATTAAACTAGCATAAGATATTTCTGAAGGTATATATATTTACTTGAGCTAGTTCATAATATCCCGATGAACAGGCAAGCGACAGTAAACTTTCCCCATCTTCTGTAACTTCGTTGACATTTCGACCTTCATCTAAAAGCTTTTTCACAGTATTGATATCACCATGGCTGCAAGCTTCTGCTAGTGAGCTATAAAAAAAAATGTTAGCATGGTTCAATTAACAAAGTTTACAGTAATCTTAGCAGTGTACGACACACCAAACTTAATATGCACAGGCATGCATTACAAAATTAGCTTTCATACCTACAACGACAGTTTATAAAAATACTAAATTTACCTCACTATACTAGGAACAAAGTTGTAAAATAATGAGAAAACTATAGTGACTAATTGAGCCCATATTTCTTAAGCTGAGATCTCCCTTTTTTTTTTTAACCAATGAAACATGTGATATTTTCTACTGTCATTTTATTTGTCTGACAATTTCCCCTCAATGCACATAGTTTGCTTATTATTTTATAATTATATTCTAGGTATACATCACAGGGAAGGACAAATATATGCAATCCACATATCAATTTATAAAACCTCCGCTTGGAACATGTACATAGCTGTTATATTTTAAGGTAAGGAGCTTAAAATACCAACTATGCCGCATGAAATGAGCTTAGGATATTTCTGATGGTAGTTCAATGCCCTCAGCTCTAAACCGAAAAGAGACATGAAAATAATGTTTTTAATTCTTCACACTTCTCAACACTACTTCTTAAAGCTTAACAGCACATAAGAGGTCACCCTTTCGAAACCTTTTTACAGAGGCTGGATAGAGATCAATAGAAATTTCAACAGAACTTTATAGTTCTATACGAATACTCCTCTATAAAATTCAATAGAAATTTTAAAATTCTTCACAGAACAGAAATCTTCAGAAATGCTGTTCTGCAAAATAATAGTGAAATTTTATAGAGGTATACAGAAGAATTATAATAAGAATACAAATGATATTCTATTAGGAATCTACAAACTGTACTCAAAGCAAATTTTCAGTTTCTTATGAACTATATGAAGTACAGAACAGCAAAAAAAAAAAAAAAAAAAAGAGCAATTTTTATTCATAAGTACTGAAACATTTTTTAATAGAAATGTTTACCCTTTCCACTCTAATTTAATTTTTTTTTTTTTTTTTTTTTTTAGTTTCTATACTTATGAAATATTCTGTACAGTCATTGCCCATATAATATTAAAATGAAATCTTGTAAAAGCATAAAATCAATTTAAATCATAAAATTAATTTTAAGATTAAATTTATAAAGTTAATTATGAAATCTTAATTCCTGAAATTAAGGCTTTTACAAAAGGATAAATAAAATTATGTATGAAGTATTTTACTGAAACCAAATTTTTTTAAAATTTACAACAAACTTTTTTTGCATACTGATGAATACACTGAAAAAAATGGACAGATGAATTTCTAGAAGTCTACTTTCAGAATAACATTTAATCACAGCAACTTCTATGGTTTCAATATCATTAAAAACAAAATTCCTTTAATCAAATTTGCAGTTTGAGAAGCAGAAAATAACTGCACAGTGATAAAGCTGCTGAATAAGATGGGTGTTGGATGGTACATACTTTTCTGGCAAAACATTTGCCTAATGCAGCTTTTGCAAGCTGAAGCATACAGGGACTTGAAAGTCTGACTTCAGTAACACCCAAACAAAACTGCTCAATAATATTTCATTCTGGAACAAATTTGCAATGATAATGTCTTTGGAGTGAAAAACAAACGCTACTAGAAAAAGCACTTTCTTTTGGGAGGGAAAGAGTGGGGGTGATTACTGAGATTTCTCTTGCTTGGTTTTTAGGTCATACTTGATATGCATATCTCATTAGTAACGGTAAAATTTAAGAAATCTGAAACTCACTTAATAACATTTCTGGAGCATTAAATGCATACCTTCGGTAAGTTTTCAAAGAACTTTGCTTTACTTTAAATGTTTTGGTTTATTGTTTTAAGAGAACACAACATAAACATTTTCTCAGTTATCCTGAAAAAACAAAGAAAATATACAGTAGAAGAAAATAAAGAAAAATAAAAGTAGAAAGGGATAGCAAAATGAAATATAAAATGAAAAATTAATCTGTCCAAGTAAGGCAATCCTGACTACTGGAAGAATGATGAAAACGCACTGCACTCACAGATAAAATCACCAGTGTCCACCTATTTCATTGAAACAGACAATAAAGACTAAAATTATGTAGCAGTGATGCAAGTCATAGTTAACTAATTTAACCGATAACAATTTATATAGTTAAAATTAGCAAAGCAAACGACCTTGGTTTCAAATAGATTTTGAATAAAATTCTATCAATTCTGACAGCATCAGACACAAGACAAAAAGTGTTTTTGAGAGGCAAACTATTTTTATATTGAAAATGCTGGGTCAAGCAAAGCAAAGATTGATGTAATGCTACTTATTTAGAAAAAATGGACTGGAATTAATGTCAATAAGTAAAAATGATAAGTTTCTGTGAATATGAAAAGCTTCAAGGAAATCTAATTCACTAACTCAAAAAGTTCTACGGGTAATTTTGAAAAATTGCCCCTAGAAGTCAAAATTGTGATCATATGTCCACCTTTTTTCAACACTTAATCCAAGATAAAGTGTATGAATCTTATTAAAGATTTGTTTACTTCTCTTTTAAAGACACAAAATTCATGATTTATGATGCAAGATTTTTAATGCTCTTTTTCTTTTGGCTGATGTATATTGGCAAGCTATACATTGATCAAACTACACTGAATGACTTTGTAATCCCCAAAATATGTTGAAACATGTTAATGTTGTTATTAACTCATGTTATTCTATCCTTTAATTATTAGTAGAACACCAATCATTTGGCACTACAGTAATCTGAACCATCTGTCCTTCTTTGACAAATAAAATTAAACCTTGTTAATTATTCACATATTTTTTACCTCAAGCTATTTAATTTTTTTAATCATTTTATGTAAATTAGCATTTTTATTTAATGTTAATAAAATGAGTTAAATTAATTTCAGTTGAAGAGAAATGTGTTATGCATTTTGCAGCCACAAAATACCTTTTTTTGTTTAATTTAATACATTTACTCCAAACCCCCCCCCTCAAAAAAAAGGTATTTCATTTTAAAGTAAAATAAATAAAAATTAATTCTTTTTTTTTTTTTATTATTGAACAAAAATATATTGTATGCTTAGGTAAATAAAAATAATATCAGTGCTTTCTAGAAAAGGGTGCATATTTCCTTTTACAAGGTAAAAAGTATGTTTTCACTTTATAGTAACAGTTGAAAATATAAATAAATAATAAAATCCTCTTACTTGCATCGCTGTAAATATAAATTTGAATTATAAGAAAAACACAACTCAATTATTTCAGTTTTCTATTTCACAGATAGTAAAGTTTAACTAGCCAAATTTTTTATAAGACAATAAAAATTATATCCTAGAATAAAATTTCTAATGTTTACAGTAGAGAAAAAATTTACTAACATAAACACATGCATCATGGAAAGAAACCCGAACATTAATTCTACATGTAGAAATGATTCTCAATTAAAAGTAGCTTAGATAAATTTTGATTAAAATCGTGCAGCTATGTTTCTTATGAAATGGTAAAAATAATAAAAATATATCCTTTTATGACTTGTAAATATTAATGAAAAAGATCAATATATTTTTCAAAATTGAAAAAATTATATAAAACCTTTAAATTGTGATTTCATGAAGAGTGATAAATCAAAACAAAATAAAAACTGCTATTTAAATTTAATAAGAAATAATATTAGTCAAGTTTTAAATTTTTAAAAATAGCAATGCTAAGGACTTCTACAAACTGAAATTTCTGCTGACTAGTCAGGAAATTTGAAAAATCTAATATCTCTCTAACCAAAATATACATATACTATGCTTAGTTATGATTTAAAAAAAATCATTATGCATAACCTAACCTCACATAAAAGCTTTTAAAACCTTATCACAAAGTGAACACATAAGCAAGACAACTCTAATTAGCAATTTTTTATAAAACTTTCACCACACAAAAGTTTACCTCTATAATTTTATTAGGATTCACCAAATAAGAAATTGTTTTTTTATTTTTTGTGATTTAAAAACTTTTTTTAAAAGGATACTTTTAGAAATGATAATTTTTTATATTTATATAATTGTTGAATGCTTTCAATACATATAATTCTACATTTCCAGCTCATCTGATTGATTGTGCTGATGCAATGCATATACCTGCATTTACATGCTTAAAAAGAAAGTACTACAACATCAGCAGCTTTTACAATAAGAAATTCAGGCCAAAATTATATATATAGTTTAAGTATTAGATACTTTCTCATACATTCATATTGCTAAATAAAATAGTATTTATACTGTAGAAAACACTGATTTTATATACATTAATACATGATTTTATTACTTTTTAATCTACAGGAAAAAAATAACATTAACCTAAAGATCCACAAATGTTAACTAAGTAGATAGTTTTAAATTTTTAATTCTAGATGCTACCAATAGAAAACTAATGTGTTAAAATTATCAAATTAAACATAGCTGCACGAATCCCCAACCCCGAAAATCTAATTTTATATAACTTGACTATATATTATAATTTCATTTAAAAAATATGTACCTTTGCAAAGGTTATATACCATGGAATATAAAATATTCAACAAAATGCTCATCTTTTAATATACGCATTTCACATGATGGCATATTAATGACAATTCCTGTTTATTTTTTTAATTATTTTAAAAAACTTTATATCCCTTAAAAAATAGTTAATTCCAATTTTTTTCAAAACAACTCTCCAAAACGCATATTAAAATGCTTCATGCGTTAGCCAGGATTCCCAACAATTAAATGGGAGAGGGGGGACTGATACCATAAAAACCTAACAAAACTGAAATTTAAAAGATTAAAAAATAAAAAAAAAAACACTCACATTTAAGCATGCAAAACACAAAGCAAAGCAAAATTAAAATGCTTACTTATGCAACTTCATTACATAGTCTAAATTAAAAAGGCAAGCACAAAAACATCAACTGAGAATACAGTACTGCCCTTGCATCTGCAGATAGTATATTTCAAAAACTACGATAATTACAAGAAACTATGGATAATACTAAATGCAATATATGATAAAATATTCCAGTATATAAATGCTCTACAGTTTAATTAATAAAATATGCACCATAAAGCATTATCCTCAATATTAAATAACCATAAAAGTTTACTGCATATTGCTGCATTAATATTTAAGACTACTCCTCACATGTGAATAGGATGATTTTGGGGTGGTTCTTGAAAAACAAACAAAAATTTCTGTACCCATACTACCCTATTCATCCATGTATTTCTGCCATCCAGATGGCTGGCTGGTTTATCAAAGAGCATGGCTTCAAATTCCGGAGAAGGCATGGATGTTTGTGAATGAATACAGTCTATGCAGCATGAGTGCATTCAAAATATAAGGCAAGCTGAAATTCCTCTCAAGTGGTTTAGTGGTATAGGAAGAGGGGTAGGAGACCCTCACACCTGTTTCTAGGGGTTCTCTCCTTCAAAGTTGGGGTGGAACTGAGAAAAACTGTACTGTCTGTCAGCTATATGCTGCTCAAGGCTCATGCCAAAAACACTACCTTGCACTTCTTGCTAATCTTCCTCTCTCATGAAGACAAACAAGGAAAAGGAAAGGTGACAGTCTCATCGAGATTCAATCCTCAGCAACAGTTGACAAAGAATTTCGAAGATTCAATTCCTGGAATTTGTATAAGCTGTTTACTGAGAATTACTGTCAGAAGCTTTGCATTAATAAACCCTGGAATACTGGTCATTCTTTCTCTCAAGAAAGCACATTATATTAATGATAATGCTATGCAACTTTTATGCCTTTCTGCGACATCCAGGTACTAGTTATGAAAAGATCTATCATTTTCTCGTTCTGCAGTTACTTTTTAAATTCATTATTACAGGCCTTTATTGATATCAACTCAATAAATTTAAATCACATAGCTTAACACGAAATTTTTAGGTAGACATTCAAAATAAGAAACAGAGTAGGTTTGGTTTATTTGAATATGGCAATGCATATGACAAAAAAAGGCTCATGAAACCAGCCCATTTCCCTGGAATACACTTCTAGGTTTAGAAAAACAAAGTACACATACACTTCTGAAATCCTATAAGTTTTTCATTTACCTCTCGCTTTAGAAATGGTACACACCATTTAATTTTCCTTTTTTCATTTTCTTGCAGGAAAATTAATTAAAAAGGATGGAATGACACAATTAATTACAATATATAGTACAGAAACAGTTTTCAAGAATTGGCAGAGCAGTAAAAATCTTTATTTTTCCTCAAAGCAGTGCATAAAAACTGAAGCACTAGTCTGAATTGTGCATGCATAGTTATTTTCATTAAGGCTGCTGAATTTTATTACTGCAGTGTACTGCTGTTCACTGCATTAAAGCTGCTATCAAAGCTTACATCTCTAAATTAAAAAATAATTTAAAAAAATATTTTTCATCTATCACAAATTGTAGAATACTAAATCAGCAGATATGGGGGCAAAACTGTATGACTCTAGAACAATAATGAATAAACTTTTATTTTTAGATGAATTATGTTACAAGAATAAATTCTAGAAACCTATATAGTTTATACACAGCATATTTATAATGGATAAACCAAAACTGCAGCAGAGCATGCTATGTCATCTGCAGGGAATGAAAAACACAATATGTTTCACCTCTGCTGGGAACCTGGCATATGCACACGTGTATTAACGAATGCAACCTACCATGGCCTCATGCGGCTAAGGACAGCTACAGCTTCATCTAAAGCACAATTTACAGATGAAGAGATCGTCTTCAATACTTCCTGATTTGAATACATGCCATCAGTAAATGCAAACATCTCTATACCTGAAACAGAAGCTTAGTTTAAAGTAATTAATTAATTTGATAAAGTACCTTTGATGTAACTTTTCCCAATACAGCCTCTCGGCACATTTTTCGAATTTTTTTTCACACAGACCATCACCTGTGCTTAGGAAAAGAAAATACATGTTTTACAACAGTAAAATTTCTATAATATTATTTTGCATAATTTGAAAATTCGTTACACACAGTTAATCTCAGAATTTTCCTATTATTACCACCAGATTTCGTAATTCCTATGAATGCTGCAAAAATAAAATTTCGAATGCAGCAAAAGGATTTGCGGTTTTTTTTAAAAAATAACTCAGTTCTGTACAGAAATATTTTTTTCTTTTTTGCTTTTTACAAATAAAAATTTAAATAAAATATCAAAATAATTTTGCATAACAAATGTCTACTTAAACTTACTTTATTCCTTTGATTACAAGATGCATCAATTATAATCGAATTTTAATTATTTGCAAACTTCAGGACTTTGGATTGCGCAGATTAGTAAATTATACTTTCTGGCTCTTGCTTACATTTACCCCTTTCTTTCCCCAATTATTTACATTAAATATGGAATGCTTGCACATAAATATTCAAAGTATACCCAAAAAATCTACCTGCTATTGATGTACATATTGAAGTGCAAACAACATAAACTAGAACTCATCTAGGATTGTGTATATCACCATCATAATGAATGAAGTCTTGTCATCTCTCCACTAGAAGATGAATATTACACCGATAAAACGCAGCAAGTTTGGAGTTGAAGAACTAAGGCAAGGCAATTTTCAGAGCTTTCACATCAAAGGCTTACCCAGTGAAAGAATTTTGCAAAAGCACAAAAGCAATGGATATCTGTGCAGGCAAATGTATGGGAGTATAGTGGGTGGGATTAAAACTACCAACCAAAGTCCTTCTGACGTGTATCATCAGAGCAGTGTATATTGGGATGATAAACATGATGGTTATCATGTTGGATGATAAACCCTTGGCAACAGACAAGACTCAGTTGCTTCAACTGTAATGATTCTTGCAGTCTGCCCAGCTGTTGACAGCAGAAGGTTGCATTAATGGTTTGATTCGGTTCCAGGACCTCCTGATGAATTATGCCTTTCATAACCCGCCACACACTCCACAACACCTTCTTGTGATGAAGTTCTTGTTTGGGCAGTGATGGAGGCAGTTCAGAAACGCCACACTTCATACTACAATATATAATGTACTTTTCATGTTGTATGGCAATCCGTATCAAGATGTAGTAACTTTTGTATCAGAAAACAAGAAATATGTTATGCTTTGGCACTCTTGATAAGCTGCACTCAGCTGACATGGAGTCTAACAACCAAACTCTGTGGTAAAACCAGCAGCACAAACTTCTGGAAACCTGGAAACCTTCCAGGTGCACAACACTTCTGTGTTTCTTCCAGGTGCACACACCTTCTGTGCACCTTCACACACCTTCTGTGCACCTGAAAGGTTTCCACTAATTTCTCTACAGATGGATTTGGACTAATTGTTATGGCTCAGTCCATAATGAAAATGCTGATGGACACCAAGACCATGGTTGATCTTGACAGCTTCTGCCACTGTTCCTGAATTTTCGAAACCATCGAAGGCATGCTTTCATCAATTGCATCCTCACTATATACTTGCCTAATATTGCGGCATACCAAGGGCATTGTTCTGCTTGTATTGAACTTAAATAGTAAGCAATGTCTGCTGTATTTCTTTTCAGTTTCCATTTGACTGGCACAACATTCTACCCCATAGCTACTAATCTTGAAATAAAAAAACTGGGAGATTCTTGTGCAAAAACACCATTCTGCACCAGTCTGCACAAAAGAACTTTAAATTAAGCATAATTAATTTCATAATGCAAGATTCAGGCTACTGAACTATTTTTAATGTAATTCTGATGTAAAATATATTAATATTTAATTACATACTGTCAGTTTTATGATCTTTGGTACTGCAAAACAGATTAAAAAACTAATAATTCTCTTGTGTGATACTGTTATGCCGCATTTCTTCCCTATAACATATCCTAATTCAACCAAATGATCACGCATTCTGCACCCTGTTTACAACAAAAATATGCCTCCTTGGATCTACAATATTTTAGTCTATTAAAAATGCTCCTGATAGACCACTTTACTTTACAACTGATAACGAGGTTTAAGAAGTAATCTTGGACTGATTTATTCACCATGCCACTTATACATTATAATAATACTTGCCTTAATTGTCCATATGGTCATTTTTTTTTCTGGTTTCAGCTTATCCTAGTAAATTAACCTTTTCATTACCACTTTCATTTTTCTTTACCCCTTGCTGTTTAACTTTCTATTAAACTTTACAGTTTTACTTTACTTTTTTGGGGGGAGGGGGTTGTTTACACTATCATTACAACAATCTGGCACAGTAAAAGAGGTACTCATGCGAGATACCTTCAAAATGCATATCAGAATTCTTACATAGCAATGTCAATAATAATCAAAGATTTAAATATGCTTAATTTTAAAAAATAAATAAATATTAAAATATGCTGTTGCATTATAAAAGATGTTAACTTGAACCTTTCCTTAGCAGCAGATTTTTTTTCCTAATTCACTGTTTCAAAAACTCTTATACAAAAATTAAAAATGAAATAACCACTCAAAGATTCCTGTTGCCCAAAGAGTTAAGTTCACTTCTCTCAAAACTTTAGTTTGTTTCAAGAAATAAATATCAATGACATTTTGTTCCAGATGAAAGTTAATGTAAAATTTTATTAACCAATTTACAGATACAGTATTCCCGAATTAAAATTAGCTTACTATTTAGTGTTACTACCTAAAACTTTCCATATACCCAAAATTAATATACAATTTCAAACTAAGACAAAATTCTATTACTACTATTCTAATAATTGGCTAAAAGTTTTATAAAACAAGGGTTATGATGCAGTATATGATCTGCTACTTTTAGTTAATTATTTACTATTTTAGATGGTGCCACTAAAATTGGCTGATTTTTCAATCATTTCTTTTTTTCGTCATTTTCATGTATATCCGAATATGGAAGCCAATACTTTTATTTTATGAAGCTTTTATTACTGAATTATGCATGCATTTGAAGGTAATGATTCTACAAAATTCATAGAGTACCTCATCACATATGATTTCATGTAATTTTGCAGAAGCATGATTGAAATCCATTAATAAAAGTAACTATTTTTGTCCATTCCGCGAGATATTCGTAATGTTTATGACTGAATGACCCATGAAAACAGCCCTTTTGACCCTTTCGCGCTGACATACCAGCAAGAAATGCACTCATTTCCTGGTTATCACACATTTGTGCCACTGTCCTGGATTTAAAGACCACTAGGTGGTTGCCTGTTTCCATTACTTTTGAACTAAATATAGTTTAAGGATCCTGATTTTCAATTTGATGACATTCTGTGCAATGTTGGTGTCAGGTGTTTCAGAGAAGAAGTGTAATGTAAACAAACAGAACTGGTCTCTTAATTCCCACATGATATAAATATTTGCGTTTTGATATCCCTTCGAATCTTTTTTTTATTCATTTTTTGCTAACATGTAGGGTCTTTGAAGATTACTGTGTGAGGTTCTTTTGTGCTTTGCATTGCTTTCATCACTTATATTTCGTGTGCTAGACAAAGGATATACTCGCACAGTAAATGAACCAGTTAGGCTCAATGAGTGTGATATTTCTAGTGATTCTCATATGGACATTTGTCACACAGACTGAGCTCACTGAGTGTCCATCTTCCACTTCACATGAAAGATTTTTACTTTTTCTTGTAAACGGTCTTTCCTGTATTATTTTTATTAATTTAAAAGTTTATTAATTTATTTATCAATAAAAGCTTTGGAATAATTTAAATAACGCTTCTGAAAATTACTTCTCAAAGGCATTTTTTAAAAATATTTTCAGCTTAAGTAATAACCTCAAAAAAATACCAAAAATTATGAAGTTAGGACATAAACTCTGTTTTGATATTCTTTCCCCTAAAGTTACGCTTAGCGGATACAAAATCCCTGGCCTGTGTGTCAATACCTTTCGACTCCCAACCATCCCGAGAAAATGGGTTAAGTGACACTTCTGCTTTTACTTTGTAAAATTACAAGGAATTTAAATTTAATAAAACAAAAAATTTAGGTTAACGAAACCATTTTTGTTTATGTATTCATCATTACTTATATTTATTGTCATATTTAAAAATAGCACTTTGAGTGACATCTAAGAAATAACTAAATAACTAAAAGCTAAGTCCAAGGATCATGTACTATTTCATTACCAAAACAACTTCTCTAAGTATAGGATACAGTACTAAAAAAGATATATATTAACTTATAACCCTTATATTAATTAAAATAAGTATTCATATACACTGTATATCTTGCACAATTAGTATAGATGTAACTGATTACAAAATGAAAAGAAAAATTCTTACATTCAGCCTCCACAACTGAAAGTTTATAATTTTCAGCTGAATCTAGAAAAAGAAACAGTGATTAATAATGTATAATTATAATATCATACAATGCAGTAGACTACTTTATGAATTAGCACACATATAAAAATTATATTTTTAGTGCATTACTATTTAACTACTTTTGCAGTTCCTAAAAGTGTAAAAAATCTGAAGTTCACTATAATAAGTCAACAGCTTAGAAAATCATGAGTACACTATTAAAAAAACTAATATATATATATATATATATATATATTATATATATATGCCAATAATTCATAATAATTTATATTTATAATAAGAAAACTTTTCATATACCATCTCCAAGGACCAGAAATTCAATTTAAAACCATAAATTAGGAAAAGAAAAATAATTTTTAGTCAGAATTTCAATTTGTTTTTGAAATTAGTATTTTCTAGACCTCCTTTGCTTTAAAAATATAAAAATCTACAAAGAAAAAATCTCTAATCGCAAAAATACCAAAATAAAATAAAATGTAAAAATTTTAAAAAGCAGCTATTCTCATTGATTGCAGATTAATCAACTTATCAAGAGGAATAAATCATTCTACCATCAATTAACAACAACTAAATTAAGATAGAATGTTTCATCTTACTTCCAAGTAAGCATCAAACTTTTTGCTATATCCAAATCTAAGTCGCAAAATAATACTCGATCAAAATAAAGACATTAGTTCATTTAAGCCAAGAGTCCTGTTAAACAAAAAAATAGCAAATAATCTTTAAAATTAAAACTGCTCACTAAGAACACAACTAAACAGGATGCTCACTTTATATAAACTTATACTTTTAAAGATATATCCTCTAATTAGAAATTTATAAAGATCAAGCCCACGAGCGGCTGAGCGGTAAAGTCGCTGAACACTGGTAGTTCGGTCCGAGGTTCGAATCCCGCGAACGGGCTGGCTGCATGGGTGTTTTTGTGGTTTTCCCCATGTGTAACGTGTATACGAGCCAGTTTCCCTTAGAAAGTCCTCCACAAAGGCATCCTTCCTCTTAGGCAGATAGCCCTCGAGGCTTTGCCATAATTACATAACCTAACCTAAGCTTATAAAGATCAAACTAGGAAATTAAAATTAACTTGCCTGCAAAATTTTAAAACCAAATGGTTGGAAATACAATATATATATATTTAATGTGCTCTCTCTATATATATTTAATGGGCTAACTTCATTGTGGCCACAACATGTTTGCTGAAATAACAAAAGAAGATTTAATCTGTGTTTGCCTCCAATTTCCTACCATTATGGATCAACACTTCTACACCATCAAAATTGCTGCTAAACATGACTTCTAAGTTTGTTTTTATTATATATATATATTTAAATTACCACAAACAAAATCTGTTCAGCATGAAATTTAAATGATAAACAAAGTATCAGATAAGTTAGTTGCAGGTACTGAAGCAACAAGAATCGACATGAGATAAATAATTATGTATAATTACAATATTATACAACACTTCATCTTGCTGCTTCAATATCTTCGACATTTGTTCTTCAGCATACCATTTTAGCTAACATAAGGTCAAGAATTAAAGCAGTTATGTACAAAATTCAAATCCCAAATTTAATATTTGACATATACCAGGATTCGTACACATTTCTGCACACGGAAATTAGTACTTTTAAGGACCATTAATAAAAAAATTAAGTACCTATCAGCAAACGGGAGCTGAATGAATTCAATTAAAATTCAATCAACTTATGTCTGAACTCCACTTTTGTAATAACCCTCTAAGAATAAAATAGACATAATTTAATAAACATAACTATAAAACAAATTTGAGAATAAAATACGCTTTATAAAATTTATCAGGAAGCATTAAATATTTTACATGTACATAAATGTTGGGCATAGTTTGAAGATAATTTGAAAGAAGATTAGGGACATTTTATTTATGTTTTATCAACAGTTAGCTTGTAAAGACATTAAGTTTTTTTTTTTAAGCACGCAAGATGAAAAATTAGCAATACCTTCGACGGGAATCGAAATGCGAACCTCTAGAATATGCGCCCAGCATGCAGACCACCACACCACGAAGGCATGCCAAGAAGGCATGGAAAATGCCTTATACACTCTCTTATTTTTTAAAGGGCGACTGGGGTTTTAGGAAACCAAATCGCCAAATTTCGGGTGAGGAGAATCATCATCCATCACCCCTTTTAATTCGAACACCACTGTAGAGACATTAGGTTATTTCAAGGCAGAAGAGATGAAAAATATGCAACGCCTTTGTCGGGAATCAAATTGCTGACCTCTGGAATATGCGCCTAGAGTGCAGACCACCACACCACGAAGGCATGCCAAGAAGGCAGGGAAAATACCTTATAAGCTTTATGTTTATTTTGATTTTTTCTTTTATGTCTCATTTTGCATGTCTGGAGGTTTAGTAAATAGCAGGTAGATTTTATGTCAAATAGCATAAAATCAGAATCAGCATGATTCGTAACAGAAGATTGGCTGTTGCCAGTGCTGCTGCTTGCCTACAGAGAGATCTGTTGATCAGAACAAACCTGAAAGCCTGATGTAGTTTTGAGGTTGGCAAGTTTTAAAAGTTAGTTGTGCTCCATCTGTCTGACACAGTTAGTGGTATAGCTTCTTGTAGAGTTTCTGGCAATGTAATTTATTAGTTAATATATCTTAAGGTTCCAGTAAGCCACTAATGCACCACAGGTGATAAGTTGTTTTTTATTACTCACTAGATGCAAAGAATATATTTTACATTAATTTTTACATTTTTGTGCTGTATCTTGTTACCACAGTAAGGATGATTGAAAGGCAATAACTTTCTTTAATATGCAGAGATAACTTTTAAAAGTGAGCAGTCAGTTACAAATAACTAAATTAGTTAAATACCCTTAATCGTTACAGATTTACATGACCACTATTAAATTTTTTTTAAACATTTGTTGAAAAAGAAATATTAAAATTACAATCTAATAAAAATTGGCAGTTTAAAATGCATGTAATTTTAAATTGTCAGTTTTAAATCAATGTCATAACATTGATTCTTAAACGGTATTAGGGTAATTCCACGTTAAAAGCTATAAAACATTTATGTTTTGGAGCAACAAAACATAACAAAATATTTATGCGTCTTTTTAATTGGAAGCCTTGCCGGACATTATGGTTTAATTTATATCAATTTTCTTTTCTTTAAACATCCTTCCTAACAATTAAAAATCTGTTTCAATACACAAACCAATGTTCTCACTAGTTTCTGTATGCTTTATCTCGTAATTTGCCAGTCTCTTAACTGTGTACATAACTAGGTTTTACTTGGTCTGGTAAAAGTTAAATAGTCAAAAACCTCTTATAGACATGAAGCAAATTATCGCTACATCTGAAAGTAACTACAAAGTCACATAAAGGTTTAAATAAACTTTTTATTTAAAAAGCAGTCAGAACATACAGGCACGTTCCTATGTTGACAAAATTAACTATAGCTTGTGGTGATGCAATTAAACAGAAACAGTTAAATTAAAAAATGTGGACAAGTAGTCAAAGACTACACAATTTAATTTCAATCTAAGCTGTCTCAGTAACTCTGTCATCTTAACAAATTCAAGTGTTAGCAGCAATTACGCAAAAATGAATAATTACAAATCATCAGAGCTGGCAGAAACTAATGACCCATCCAGGTGGATGGCAAAAACACCATCTTTCAGTCCCAAAACCTCAGTTTAAAAACTTATCTGATTTGCATTATGGTGAGGAAATGTAAAGGGGAACTTACAGTAAAGGCTAAAATTATAAACAACTGGTTAATTTGCATAATAATAACTGTACATATCATCGAAGAATAATTTTCCTCCTCTTTATGCATTCAGTTTCTTTCTTCAATTCGTTTCCTCTTCACTTTAGAATTTTTGAAATTAATTACAGATTTCTGTTATTCTAAAAAGCCAAATGCATTTAGGATGTAAAGAAAAAGCTGATAAATATGAAATGATGTACAGTAAGGCTGGTTTCAGGGCCGATGAGGCAGAATTTTTAGAATTTAGTGACACACCAAGCAACAAAATCTAGAAATAGCAAAACTTTTAGAATTTAGGACAGCCAGTGGGAGAATAATTTAGAATTTGCGGGGATTGTGCATCAGGTGGGAAAATGCCTTGTGTCAACCCTGTGTATGAACCATTGAGACATATAAGATGAATCTTTTAAATTGTCAGTTTTACATTCCTTTATTAATAGAAAAATTCTTTTTATAAATGCTTGTCTTTGCGAAAAGATTAGAAATATTTTTGATATTTTTCACAGTTGCATCTACAGTCAAAAGTCGTTAATTCGGATACCCATAATCCGGAATGATCTATAATCCGGACCTCAAAGCTAAAATCTTTCTGCGCATGCGCCGTGTTGACGCATGCGCATAGGCGTTTTACGCGTGCGCGCAAGACATTTACGACTACGCATATGCGTCTGCGCAAGCGCAGAATACGTTTTCGCGTGCGCGTTTAATGTATAACGGACGGTATAAGCTAAAATTATCTAATTATCTATTTCAGTTAATGTTGATGATTGCGTTGTTCCTTAATCTTCGAATTGGATTCGTCTTATTATTTTGTGCAGACTGTAAGAGCAATTTTAGCGCGGGGGGCGTCACAGCGCGCAATGAACTGGAAGTTGATCTGTCAGCGCTATCCTTATCTTCAGGGCAGATGTTTTCAACAACATTCAAGCAATATGTTTTCATTGTCCTTCCAAAGATTCCCCAAAATGTAAGAAAAGCATCACAAACTTTCTGTAAAATACATCCATTATGTGTTAATACAACGAAGAAATTTTCATTTTGTCAATTTTTTGAGCCTCCCAGAATTGAGAGTCTGTAAATCTTGCTTTCAAATCCTTCTAAACTTTCCAAGTCGCAATGCGTAAAAATCCTAAAGAAAAATTCACCCTACCAATTCTACAAGAGAAAAAGGGCTACAAATATTTTGACAAAAAAAAAAAAAAAATTAGTGGAAAAAGTGTAAAATTAATTTTATAGAGAAAACTGATACATATTCTGAATATTCTGAGACAAATAAATACATGGGAAAAATTCTTACCATGAAAAAATTAAAAGGGAGACGTTTTTAATTAATTATACAGTCAAAAGTCTTTAATTTGACGTCCATAATCCAGACCGTCTGCTGATTTTGGCTGAAAAAGACTTTTAAGGACCAAAAATTGATTCCAGAAGCCCTAAGGACTTTTAAGGACCATATGAATCCTGCATACGCAGAGGGTGTTTATACATTTTTAGAATGCTTAATTCAAGTTTAAAATGTATGCTTAATTAAGGTTTAAAATGTAAATAGTATTTTTTTAAATGTTTGATCTCATAGCTTCTTCTAGACTATAAGTCTGCATATTGACTTCCATGATAAAAAAGCTTTCTGTAAAATTTCCACAGGAATACATTTCTGATAAAAAAAGCTTTTTGTAAAATTTCCACAGGAATACATTTCTAATCTTCTTTCAATACTTTCCAAAGTCCGTCAATCGTAGTCGAGTTCCCCTTAGGAAGAGCTCTTTTGGAGAGACCACTAGCATAACAGTTCACAGAATATTAAGAGATGTCAGAACTTCAGGAGCCAGGAATTAAGCAATAAAAAAATATTAAGCAACCCTACTGCAAAAAGTCACACATGCGAAGTTACAATATTTTAATATTATTTTTTTTAGAAATTGATTATTAGAATATAGCAAGCCATAAAAGGCTTTACTCATCTAATAAAAAAGAAAATCACAAAATCTCGCTTGCAGCCATTATCGAAAATGGTATCCCTTCCTCCCCCGCCAAAAAAAGACAATTCTGTTTCACCAAATGACATGTGGTTAGAAATGTTATTTTTTAATGCTATAATTAAATTATACATCATTAAAATTAGCAACAAGAATTCATGTTTCAGAAAAGATGTAAGACATCAGCAATCTTTTTTAATCATCCATTTTGAAACTGTGTTATTCACGTTTGACAAGCTAGATTTATTTGAAGTAAGGTTTTCTTGGAATTTAAATTTCAAGAACGGGTGTAGGCAAGCCTACCCTGGATTAGAACCTTTGGAGAAAAAATGATAAGTGAAATATTTTTTCTTAATTTAGAATTTTGATAAAAAGATTGACCAGAAATTTAGTTAGTTTTCAAAATTTCCTCCCTGACGGGCCATCAAGCTTGAAGAATTGATTTTAGAATATTACTGAATCAAAACTAGTAATAATTTTGAAGTAACTGGAAAATCAAACTTAGGTTTATTTTATTACTGAGAAACACTGAATCGTTGACCATGTTGAATTAAAATGTGAACTTACATTGATAAAGTAAACTGTGTTGCATGCAATTTCAAACAAATTGGCATTTACTGAAAGGTTTTGCATTCTGACCTTAATTTGATATTGACTGCATTTTTGGAAATTTGTACATAGGTTAAAATATGGCTGAAATACAAAAGGAAACTTAAATTGCTTAGAACAGCCGTTGGACAGGCAGTTAACGACTAAGAAGCTAAAGTTCTTTCCATTAGATTTGAACCTCTAACCTTAGTTGATGAAGCCTGAGGAATCTGATATCAAATTTGAAACTACACAATATAATGAATGTACTTCTTTGGCAATTTCATGGCAAAAAGAAAATCAGAGAATTTTCGAAAGCTCAACTTGTGACAACACATGAACCTCCAATGGGCCCTCAATATAACAAATTTTGAATTCTGGCAGCTTTCATATTAAAGTATATGGTCCCAAAGTAGTGAGTTCCAAAATACCATACTGCTCACTTCTTTGGAAAAGTCAATTCAAAATACCTTACCTTTTGGAATTGCTTTTGAAACAACTGGGCGCAATAATCAGTCGCTAGTAGGCTCTAAATATTCTTGCATTATGTGTCAGAAAATGTATTGGTTCACTGGGGAACAGTTGCTGGAAAAATGCACAGTATGTATAACTTGGACAGTTGGTGGCTCACTTATCTTGTGAGGGACATTTACATGATCAATATGTTAGTTAGTTGTCTTAGACTATGAAAGCTATGGATTACATGAATGTCACTGCATTATATCCATTTATGGTGTGTGTTTTCCCAACTGGAAATGGGCTGTTCCATCAAGACAACCTCTCTGCTACAAGACCAAGACTATATTCATTTGGTTTCAGAATTTATCTAACTGCCAATTCCCAAAATTTCAAACCAACACATCACCAGCAGGATTATCATGGGGTGGCTCCTCCAAGCTCGTGACTCTTTGCCATGAGATTTACATGAATTGATAGACATTTGCTTCATCATTTGATATGTTTTGCCTGAAAAGTTACAGAAGCTTAAAAAATATGCAAGTTAAAGGTGGAGCAACAAGGTTAAAATAGATGGTCATATTGTTTCAGCTATTAAATGTATAAAACATATATAATTAGTCAGAAATATTTTTTTCAGGACTGAAATCTTTTCATGAACTTCTAGATAGAAAAAATATATATACACATACCAGGATATCGGATATTTGTGGCATAACCAGTCTCTAACTGGCTATTTTCAAAGAACTGTCCACTTGCTTCGAGCAGAGCTTCAAGTTGGCATTGTGTTCGTACATCAAATCCCATTTCAGAAGGATTCAACAGTTCTGATGTATTTAATAGAAATTTAGAGGAAGCTCTATCTTCTTCACATTCACCTTGCTCTAAAATGAATGATTCAACCTGAAAAAGGATTTAATTTTAAAATACATGATAATAGACAAGTTGTTAACAAATAAAAAAATTTAGTACTGATAAATTTTACTAGTTTATAATAACAAACATACAATATAAACATAAATGAATACAATAAAAATGTTCAATTTAGAAGATTTAAAAAAAAACCTATAAAAATGTACCAAAACATCAAGATACACATGGCAAATTGGAAACTGGGAATCTGCTGAGGCAGTAAAATATTTCCCATTCAAAAATGAGGTTTTACATAATCTTACTAATAGTGATGAAGCATGTAAATATCAAGATTAATTTTGAAGATTAGTAACACTCAGATTTCGCATAATTAGTAATAAATCAGCCATGACATATATATTTAATAATACAGATTTCAATAAAGAAATTCTTAAATATAAAAATTTTTTATTAATTAAATTAAAAATATCAATTAATAAAAAATTTGCTTATTTACATCAAAATTATTTAAAATTAGTTAAAATTTGATTATTATATTTTTGATGAGTTGTGGATTATCATATAATTAATTAATCAACAACTCATCAAAAATTATGAATATCCATTTTCTTGGATTTTCACTAGCTGTTTCCCTACGCCTATTTTGCACTTATAAAAAGAGATAAATGTACAAATTCTCTAAGATAAATATAAAAAAATTACTATGTAAAAGATGTAAATCAAATTTTTCCAAAAAGCATCAAATAGTTAAAATACGAAAATAATGATTTTTCAGATTTAAGATTCCGATATGTACCAGTGATACATTTTCTAAACACAATTACAGAAAGAAAAACATCGACAATTTTTATTTTTCATGTGCTTTTACATAGAGAGACAAAAAAGAAAAGTTATGTTAAAAAAATTTTTAAATGAATTATTTTACAATTATTAAAAAATGTATTTCTTATTAACAACAGCAGTAAATAAATGCTTTAAAAACTAAATAATCTGGATTTCTTGTTTTTGCCAAGAATAAACTGCATAGCATAAATTAGTGTTCCTTGAAATAGGTAATTGCCATTGGCGAGTTATGAAAATTATAACAAAGGACAAACACTTAATTCTGTAAAAACAAAATATCACATGCTAATGAAATGTTTTACTTTTGCAAAAACAGAAAATACAAATTATTGCACTTAAATGATAAAACATTTTAAAATTAAATAAATCATTAAAAGTTTTTAAAATCACAAAATATCATATATAATTTCTATAGGATATTTATTAATCATCAGATCTTTTAAAAATTTCGAATTTAGAACCTTAATTTAAAAAGCCCTTACATGTATTGTTTGACACAACATGATTGCATAAAGCAGCATATTTCCTTCACATTGCAAACACTGTTTAATAACTACATGCTCTACCCATTGTGGTCAAAACATATAACTGATTTTTAATATTTGGGCACCGAGATCTTTGCTAATCTCATTTAATTCTTGCTAATTCTGAGAGGATTCATGACAAAAAGCTTGCAATTAATCAAGAAATACTTCAACATAATTAATTTCATTATTTTTTTACAAAATCTTCTAATGCTAATTATAAGCAATGAGTTAGGCAATGCCAAATTATAACATTAGCAGAAAAAGTTTAGAATTTTGATTGCAAATCCTAATATTTTTTCCTAACATTATGCAACTAGCTCAGTACTTTAATAAAAATAGTACAATAAATAATAGCACACTAGAATAAAATGCAGTACAATTTCTCAAATGATCTGCAAAATATCCATGAATACATTCAGCAGCAGTAGTAGTTTATTGGCTGCTTATTAGATTAATGGCTGTAATAATTTCCAGGACTTGAGTATCAGTCTGTCACCAACATTGGATTGGCACCTTTTAGAAATGAAATATACTTTCAAATGTCAGCAGACTGTTAAATGGAACTTTTGATTTTAAGCAAAGATCATCTGATAATCACATTTTATGGGAAAAATAACCACTTAATTAGAAATAATGTATAGCTTTAGTTTTTTTTTTTTTTTTTTTTTTTTTTTTGGGGGGGGGGGGTAATCTAGCAAATATGTGGTGAAAAATAAACGAGTCCAAAACTGTCATCCCAAAAACTTGCTACCGGAAAGAACTATTCACCCCCCTCCCCTAACACACACACAAATCAGATGTGCAACTTCCTTGAAACATAGGCAAGAACAGGAAAGAAATAAAAAAACCTGTAACAGTTTCCAGAGTAGCCAAAATGCTAAAATCAAAGTCTTCAGATGGTATTACTGGATATGTACAAGTAAGTTTGACAAAATACAAATATTTAAAAACAAAATATTTAAAACTACAAAACTGTAACTAATCAAAGATGCTTATCATAAAATGCAGTTTGCCATTACAGAAATAAAATTAACAGTCACAATAACATTTCAATTTATGCAGTTAAGATGATAGCCATATATGGCAGTAAAATAACATATAATAAATTAAATATATAAGCAGGAGTAACACGAAATTCTTGTAACTGCAGAAAAAAATTTCACAGATCATCTTTATACCACTTTCTTTAGTGGTCTGACAAAGGGGAAAAAAAGTTACTTCCCTAAATATATGCTTAGGGATTAAGAGAGGTTCCTCTGTCAAGAATTCACCACATTGATGGAAGGAGGGTAAGGAACTGCAATAATCTGACAAAATTTCAGGCATTAAGAGTATTCTAGTGGTACAGCCTAGCAAAGAGTTTGGCTTCCTAAGGGTTAAATTTTAATTATGCCAGGCCTTTAAATTTAAATCTTGACATCAAACTTACATGGCCCTTCTGAGGATTACATTATAATTGTTAAAATTTACAATAGCTAGAAGATGTACTCAGATATTTTAATAGCAAATTTGCTAAATTCTCAACAAAGTAAACATTTTTAAGGAGATCTAAATAACATCTGTATATACAACCAGGACTGCCACCCAGACAGAAATATGGTTAGTAACTCTTACTCCTGCGTCGAAGAGCCCAGGTTTGAATCCTGAAGAAGGTATGGATGCAAATTGTTCCTTCATAAGTCTTCCCTTCCTGAATTCATTAGTCTGTCCTTCATGAATTTTGTTGCTGCAACTCATGCTTTGTATAAATCATGTACCCGCTTGGTTAGTCTCCGAAGATCAGACAAAACATCCTGAAATGTGTCTCGGGAGCTCTGTCCCTTCATAAGGATGAACAGCGGCCCATCTATCAAGGGCCTCCATAAAAAAGTGACCACCTCTTCCAGCCTTAGAGCTTCATTCCCCTGGGGGTTGACATAGAGAAATATGCGAAGCTACTGGCTAGAATCTGTACCTAGGAGGTCTTGGTAATGGAGGTATACAAATAATGAACCTGGTGGTTCTAAAAGCCCCTGAAAAAAATGGCTTATCGGTCAGCATGCGGTCTGGCAGGTCCTAGAGCTTAAGGTTATAGTAGCCCTAAGTAGTGTCCCAGGTAGCTTCCTGGGGAGTGGCGCAAGGGTTTGCTGGGTAATGTCCTTATGCGACGGGCAGCCAGTGTGACTGGCAGGTGGCAAATTTTGACGCCATATGGCAATGACATCAATCCTCTCCAAGATGTGATGACAAGGGTTGAACTCTTAGGCCTGGTTCCAAGGCTGGACTGACTGTGTAGTGTTGGCTTATTGTGCTGACAGAGCATATATGCCCAAATCTAGCTTTAGTAGTGGCCAACGCTTATAATGGCTAGCGTTTGCCACTGGGAAAGCAAAAAAAAAAAAAAAAAAGGGGGGTAGACTTCACTTCTAAAATTAGAAAAGCAAATGCCCTATGGAAGGCTTTCATGAAAAGTATAAAAAAATTAAATAAAATGTAGAGAATAAAAGTTTCATTCTGATTATTCACAACCATCCTTAAAAGTATTCACGAAGCAATGCACCATGTAACTAACATAGCAACATCGTCCAAAAGTATAACAAGCATGCATGCCCGAGAAGCAGATGATACCTGATTTCTATCTTCAAATTCAATGGTCATTTTTCTTTCTGCTTAGTTTTTGTTTTTGCAACATTTGAGCTCATTTTTCTTCTCACAAAGAATCATAATAGGCCTATGGAATTGGCCAGCTGATCAAAGCATAGCAAGAAATATGGTGTTTTGTTTAACAATACAGAGTGCAAAAACTTCAAATTGCAGGAAGCTGTAGTTATTAAATAATCTAATTTTAAGGATCAAAATTTCTGCACAATGCTCCATTTTTTTTTTTTTTTTTTTTTTTTTTTTCAATTGAAAATAGATTGCTCTTTACATGAGGAAAATGAGAGCATGTGTAGTGCCAAATTGTGCATAACGCTCATCTTGATGTTTCACATAATAATCAGTGCAGTACTGTTTTTGAAAACAACTGTTGTCTTTTACCTCGTAGCTTGGTGAAAAATTAGTCTGCCAATTTTTCAGGAAGAGAGATGAGCATAATCAGGAAGTACTGAGACAAATAGAAACTAATATATTAATTGAATAAAAAATCAATTACACAACAAATCAAAATACTAAAGCTAATCTCATTTGAGGTTTTGGCTGGGATTATGATTTTACTCAACCAGAGCCAGGCTCTGGTGGGCTCTACTGAATTTAAGTCTATAACTAATTAACAAAATGTAATAAATGAAAATGGAATATAGTAAACTTCGCTCCACAGAAAAGAAAATGAAAACCAATATTTTAAATGAATTAATACTAGGAAAATACACAGGTGGCCAAGTAAAATGAAACACAAAGGACAAGAGATATCAAACATAAATTTATTTCAGAAATTACACATATCAGCATTAACTGATTTGAAATACAGCCTTCTTTGAGGTTTGGCTGGGATTATGATTTTACTCAACCAGAGCCAGGCTCTGGTGGGCTCTACTGAATTTAAGTCTATAACTAATTAACAAAATGTAATAAATGAAAATGGAATATAGTAAACTTCGCTCCACAGAAAAGAAAATGAAAACCAATATTTTAAATGAATTAATACTAGGAAAATACACAGGTGGCCAAGTAAAATGAAAC